TTTTTCTCCCTCCTCCTTGTAACACCCTTTTAGTACTTGAAGGACATGATGAACACAGTTTAGAAGACATCCTTTTCCTTTTGCTGATCTCACAGGTATCCCTTTGCTGTGATAATGGTTTGGTATCATCTGCAAATTTAAGAATTGTAGTCTCTGTGTCATCATCTAAATTACTGATGAAGATATTGAACAGAACCAGTAACAGAACAGACCCCTGCGGAACCTCACTTGTTATGCCCTTCCAGCATGATTGTGAACCGATAATAACTACTCTCTGAGAATGGTTATCCAGTCAGTTATGCACCCACCTTATAGTAGCCCCATATAGGTTGTATTTTCCTAGTTTATTGATAGGAAGGTCATGCGAGATCATGTCAAATGCCTTACTTAGACTTCAGTATACCATGTCCACTGCTTCACCCTTATCCACAAGGCTTGATATCCTATCAAAGAAAGCTATCAGATTGGTTTGACATCATTTGTTCTTTACAAATCCATGCTGGCTGTAACCTAGCACCTCATCATTTTCCAGATGTTTGTAGATGGATTCCTTAATTACTTGCTCCATTATCTTCCCTGGCACAGAAGTTAAACTGACTGGTCTGCAGTTTCCTGGGCTGTTCATATTTCTTTTTTTTACAGATGGGCACTAGATTTGCCCTTTTCCAGTCTTCGGGAACCTCACCCAACTTCCATGATTTTTCAAAGAGGATAGCTTGACAAAAACTGAAACAAAGAAGTCGTTAAGCACCTTTGCCTCTTCCTAGTTTCCTGACATTGTTTCTCCCTCTTCTTTGAGTAATGGGCCTACCCTGTCCTTGATCTTCCTCTTTCTCCTAATATGCTTATAGAACATCTTCTTGTTACCCTTTATGCCTCTAGCTAGATTTAGCTCTTTTTGTGCCTTTGCCTTTCTAATCTTGCCCCTGCATTCATCCTTTGTAATCTGACTTAGTTTCCACTTTTTAATACAACTACGTCTTGATTTTTAGATCATGTAAAATCTCATCGTTGATCAAGGTGGTCTCTTGCCATACTTTCTATCTTTCCTACACAGGAAATAATGTCCTTTAAAAAACTGCCAACTCTCTTCAGTTGTTTCTCCTCCTTGTCTTGCCTCCCATGGGACCTTACCTACCAGCTCTCCAAGTTTACTAAAATCTGCTTCCTTGAAATCCATTGTCTCTATTTTGCTGTTCTCCCTGCTACCATTCCTTAGAATCATGAACTCTGATTTCATGATCACTTCCACCCAAGCAGCCTTCCACTTTCAAATGTTCAACCAGTTCCTATTTGTTAAAATCAAATCTAGAACAGCTTCCCCCCAGTAGCTTTCTCAACTTCCTGAAATAAAAAATTGTCTCCAACGCAGTCCAAGAAGTTATTGGATAATCTGTGCCCTGCTGTGTTAGTTTCCCAACAGATGTCTGGATAGCTGAAGTCCCCCATCATCACCAAATCCTGCGCTTTCAAGGATTTTGTTAGTTGTTTAAAAAAAGCCTCATCCACCTCTTCTGCCTGAGTAGGTGGTCTGCAGTAGACCCCTCATGACATCACCCTTGTGTTTTACCCCTTTTAACCTAACCCAGAGTCTCTCAACAAATCTATATCCATCTCAACCTCAGTCCAAATATGTACATTTTTAATACATAAGGCAACACCGCCTCCCTTTTTTCCCCTGCCTATCCTTCCTGAGCAAGCTGTACCCTGCTACACCAATATTCCAGTTGTGTGTATTATCCCACTAAGTCTCTGTGATACCAACTGTGTCATAGTTGTGTTTATTTATTAGCACTTCAAGTTCTTCCTGCTTATTCCCCATACTTCTTGCATTTGTATATAGGCATGTTAAGATAAATGCATGTAATGTATAGCATTGATTGATAAGCTTTTGCTTATCACTTAATCAACTACACTATTACATCCCTAACTGTGACCCTCCTAAAATAACCTTGTGATCCCCCAGCAACTCTCTTTGGGGTCAGAATCCCCAACCTGAGAAACACTGATCTCTCTGCATAGTATAGGGTCAAAGCACACAAGGCCAGATCTCACATTTTCCCTGGCTTTGAATCTGGTAGGGCCCTGGACATAAGCTATACCAACAAAAGTGCTAGTACAGACATAGTTTTAGATATGCCCGCTATAATTGAAGAAGCTGGAATTTAGCAAGAAGGACTCTGAAGTTAACTCATAAGGCTTTTAAAAGTACATGGTACCATCAATGTTCATGCTTCTGGTTTTCAGTCAGTATGCTAAAGGAAAAGCGCTATGAAAACAGAGACGAAAACAGATCTATAAAATAGTAACTGAGCATCTTTTTAACCAGCCCTTTTCATCCACACTTTCACATGGCTGATGCAGTATGTCTCCCCAAGTATCCAAAACATCATCACAAGAAACTTTTCAAGTCTAGGACCTTCTCCCCTTCTTCTATCCCCCCCCCCATCCAAACCACTGTTTTATGTAACATCACAGGGATAAACTGATGACTCTCAGGGAGACAGTACGCACTGGTCACAGGGAGCGTCCATAATCTTTGATTCCCACATAGGTGAACCCTTATAAAGGCTATACCCTCCCTGGTTCGGCAATATCTGTGGTCCAGCACAAACCACGGATGTTCTTGGATCACAGAGCCCAGGGATCTCTGTCCGGGTTGCGCAGCTCTGACTGTGACCCTCCAGCCCCAGCAGTAGCACAGCCGGAGGCATCTAGAGAGTGCCCCCCCAGGGGGGAGGGGGAAAGCACCTTGGGCAGAAGCGAGGGGAGGCTGGAGCTGTAACTTGGTGGCAGCATGGGCCATGAGGGGAAGGACCTTCCCTGATCTGGCAAATCCCCTCATTCAGGACCAGCCAGGTCTTGAGGGTGCAGGACCCATGAGGTCCAACCTGTAGTAATAACGATTATCAACAACTGGGCATGTTAAGTCATCCTCTAGTCAAGTGTTGTTGTTACCCCACTTCCCAAGAGTCGGCCAACACTAACAGGTCAGTTTATGACTAACACCGCTATACAATTCCATGGTTCCCACACCTTCAACGCTGCAGGCAGGTCTGGTTACTTCATTTCAAAAGAGACACATTACAAGTGGGAGAGATACACAGAGTGGCAACCAAAATGATTAATGACATGGGACAGTTTCCACATAAAGAAAAATAAAAAAGCCGGGGACCGCTCAGGTGGGAAGAGATGACCGGGGAGCAGGAAAGTTCATAAAATCATGAATGGAAGAGAAAATGAATAAGGAAGCGTTATTGACCCCTTCACATAACGCAAGACCTCCAGGTTACCAAGTAAACCAGGGGTGGCCAACCCATGGCTTGTTAGCTGCATGTGGCACTTCCCCTTAAAGTGTGGCTTGCAAAGCTGCCCCTGTGCCCCTAGAAACAGCCCTGACTCCCTGTGCTCACCAGGGTAGTGAAGCCATCCAGTGCGGCAATTCAAAATGGAGTCACCAAGACGTGGCCAAAAAGCCTTTTCTTTTAAAGAGGCAGCGTCTTTTTTTTCCCCCCTCAACAAACCTGGGGGGTTGGTGGGGAGTTCTTCCTTCCCCCCCCCCTATTTTTGGCTCCACAAAAATTGCTGAAAAAAAAATTATGTTGCGGCTCTTCACATTTTTTCCGCCACTGTTTCGTCTCTTCGTTTAACGGGTTGGCCACCCCTGAGGTAAACGTAGAGTCAGCAGGTTTAACACAAACCAAAGGAAGTACTCAACACAACACACAATCAACCTGGGGAACTCACTGCTGGGGATGTTTTGAAAGCTAAAACTATAACTGGGTTCAAAACAGAATTAGGTAAGCTGATGAAGGATAGATCCATCAACAACTATTAGCCAAGATAGTGTTAGATGCCACCGCACGCTTTGGGTGTCCTTAAACCGCTCCTGTTCTTTCCCTCTGGGGCACCTGGCATTGGCCACTGTCAGCAGACAGGACCCTGGGCTAGATGGACCTTCGGTCAGACCCAATATGGATGTTCTATCATTTTAATCATCTTATGGGTCTCAACATTCCCTCCAGCAAGAGAAGACTGGACAAGCCACTTTGCATCAACTTTGTGCTTTGATATATGATGGGGGAAAGAAGGGAATTGATGTAGTGACTCCCTAGATCAGGGGTTCTCAGACTGGGGGTCAGAACCTCTCAGGAGGTTGCAAGGTTATTACTTGGGGGGATAAGGGAGTCATGAACAGTCAGCCTCCAACCCCAAATCTTGCTTCACTGCTGGCATTTATAATGGTGTTAAATATACGAAAAGGTGGTTTTAAGGTATAAGAAGAATGGGTGGCACTCAGACACTTGATATGTAAAAGGGGTCACCAGTACAAAAGTTTGAGAACCACTGCCCTAAATCATGCCTCCTTCACTCCCTCTGCTTCTGCTGCTCTCATCTCTTTGCATTATCATTTGCTTTGAGCCTTGGTCCGGCCAGGCTGTGTGCTTGGAACGGGTCTGGTTGCATGTGCTAAACCATTAACTTCAAAACGGTCCTCAGCGTGGTCATGAAGCAAAGCCTCCTGTACAGATCTCCTTAAAGATGTTCTGCTTGCATGCGCTAAACCATTAACTTCAAAACTGTCCTCAGCGTGGTCATGAAGCAAAGCCTCCTGTACAGATCTCCTTAAAGATGGCAAAACTCCCATTGACTGTAATGGGACCAAGATATCCTTCAAGAGCGTGCTGTATCTTCAGGGACTCCATCTGTTCTGTAATTAACTGTACCGAAACCAAACCAATTACCAAAAGGGCAGCTCTCATCCAGCAAAGCTTAGAATAACACGTTAAGAACTTGATTTACTTTCCAGCAGATAGTCTGAGTCAGTCACACATCAACTCCTTCTATCAGGGTGTTGCTAGCTAGGGTATGCTTTTGTGAGTGCAGCTCCTTGCACATAATTGTCATTAAAAAAAGAATTGCTAAAATCCCAAACATATTTTCTGCTCCAGAGGTTTTTTTTTTTTTTTTAAAAGAGTCTTTAAACAAAGTCAACTCACCTCTGCAAATTGTGTGGATGGACTGTCGTCTATTCCGCTGCCACTACCATCTAGAAAACTGAGGAGAAAACAGTAGTCAGAGCAAGTTGTTGCTTCCAAAAATAAGCTCCCCCTTCTGAGGGTTAAATATAGACGGAAGCCAGCATGTGCCAGACTCTCAATAAGGAACAAGACAAGGCTCCCACGTGGGATGAGCAAAAAGGGTGATCAAATGAGGTGCACAAGTTACTTTGGGGAAGGAATTAATCTATATATAAAGCGTAGCGTCAGCCCAGTAGGGAAGCTGAAAGATTAAAGTGACTACACAGAGCACCAATTTAGATTTCCTCTGTATGGAAAAAAGTATGCAAGATGTTTTACAGATTCCAATTTGCAGGAAACAGCAGCAGCCAGTTAACAGCAGTAGAAATACATTTCCCTTGAGCTGCTTGATTAGTATTTGTGCTTCACAGTAGCTGTTTATTTCCTATACGCAGTTCAGAGCAGCTCCCCAGTTTATCTTGGATATTTGGCACTTTCTCCCTTCCTGCAAAACTCTTCCACCCCTCCAACTAAACCTTCTTGTGCTTAGCTCTGCAACACATCAAGTCATGTCAGTTTGCCAAGTTTGTTTGGGGAAGGGTGCTCGCAACAGTTCAAGGGCTCCTCTGTTCCAAGGCAAACATTCCTAAACACAGAGCCAAGCAAAAAATATTAGGCTTTGTGTAATTAGATTTTCATGTTCATTCGTTAACTGCCCAGAATATCTGTGTGCAAAAGGGACAGCGTGACAGTGACTCATATCTTTCTAGTGAAACATGTTGGACAGCTTTCCTGCTTTGGGAGCCTGGAGAGATCAGATTTTAATATTGTTACCACTCCCACTCCAAATAGCACAACTTTCTCAGCCGTGGCTCAGGACTGAATATAGGAAGTGCCAGACTAGCATATTTTTCAGTCCCTAGCTGTTTGTAGGCAGTGTGTTCTACTGGATAAAGAACTTCACTAAAGTCTCCGCAGGGTAGCCATGTTAGTCTGTAACTTTAAAAACCACGAGTAGTCCTGTGTAGGGATGTTAACTGTGTAGTTAACTACACAATTAATCCAGTCAACTACATGCACTCCCTCCCCCCACCTGCGTCTGTATCAGAGGTGGGGGAGGAGGAGGCCAGGAGCCAAGTGAGCTCCCCATGAGTACCGGATCTGGTGGAGCTGCTCCTGACAGAGAGGGTCAAGGGGAACAGGCAGGAGTCGGTACACACGGGAAGCCAACTTTCAAGCCGGCTCACCATGTGTATTGGCTCTCCCGGAGCCACCTGTCCCCAGGGAAGCTGCCACAGAGCAGCCTGTGTCTGCAGTGGGCCCAGGCATGTCGCAGACAGAGGCTGCTCTGTGGGATGCCAGCGCAGCCCCTGTCTGCAGGTAGCTCAGGTCCCCATGAACAACAGGCGGGAGCCTGTCTGCGCAGGGAGCCGGCTTTTAAAACCAGCTCCCCCTCACAGATTGGCTCCTGCCTGACACCCCACGTTGCTGCCTCTGTACCAGAAGCAGCAGCGTGAGGTGGCAAGGGGCTCCCGAGAGTGGGTCCAGGAGAGCACTGGCTGCTGGCCCTGCCCCTGGGAACTATCGAATAGTCATGTAACCGCTAAAACCTGACGCAGTTACACAATTATTCAATTACACAGTAACCGACATCCCTAGTCCTGCGGCACTTCCGAGACTCACATTATATGTTAATGAGACTTCATGGGTAAAACCCACTTCATCAGATGAGTTGGAGTTGAAACAACAGAATCCAAGTTTATACATAACAGCAAAAGCATAAACCTGTCCATTGTAGGACCAATGTTAATGAAGCTAATTAAGTGGGCTGGATGTGTCCCATTCAGAGCTTTTGATGTGAAAATGTGAATGTCAAAGGCAGAAGAAATTGGCTTTGTAGTGCGTTAACCTGCTAATGTCTCTATTCAAACCCAGGGTAACTGTCTCAAATTTGCAAATGAATTCCAGCTCAGCAGTCTCTCTCTCTAATTGGGTAGTGAAATTCCTTTGTAGAGGAATGGTTACTTTTAAAACCATGACTGAGTGTCCATCCAGGCAGGTTAAAATGTTGCCCCAGGTTTCTCTGTGTCACCATTTCTGATGTCTGATTTGTATCCATTTATCCTTTGTCAGAGAGACTGTCCACTTTGGCTAAAATACATGGCACAGGGGCATTGCTGGCACTTGGTGGCATAGATCCAGAGAATGTGCAGTTGTATGAGCCCCTGATGTGGCTCATGTGGTTAGGTCCTGTGACGGTGTTACTTGTGTAACGGGGTTTGTTGTGGGGAAAGGTTCCTGGGTGAGTGCATCTGAAGTGTGGAGTGTGGCTGCTGGCTGACCTGTGAATCAGAGGTGGTTCTATTTCTGACACTGCTGCCAAATCACTGTGACACCTTGGATACAGTCCCTCAATGTCCTCTTTTGTAAGAAACTGAGATCAATGGAGAAAAACTGCCAATTGTCATTTAAATCCTGACAACTAGCATGTTAGAAGGAGCTACATAGTCTGCTATATGCAATCACAGGAAAAGCAGATTATTACAATAATTAGCAGTGTTTAATCAACTAAAACACACACAGTTCTATTCTCAAGAGCTCACCAACACAAAACAGCTTTGAATTAGCCATCATTATTACTAAGTGGAATATTAAACCAAGCTCTATTGTACAGCATTAGACCAAGATTTTGCTCCATGTAAAACTTAGTCAGGATTTGTACTTCAAATCCACATCCCATCTCACCTACATTTTTGCCGTAAATGCACTAAATTAGGATATAGTGATGCTTTTCCCCCCCAGTTAGTTTCCAGCTCTATGTTCTGTGTATTTAAATATCAAATCAGTCCCAATAATCCCATGAAATATTATCCCCATTTTAAAGTGGAGAAATTGAAGCAGACACACAAGGGGTATGTGTACTCTAGCTCATTAGTTCGAGCTAGGTAGGCAAATGAGGGCAACCGGAGTTGCAAATGAAGCCCGGGATTTAAATATCCTGGGCTTCATTTGCATGTTCCTGGGCACCGCCATTTTTAAATCCCCCTTAGTCCGAACTTCATGCCCACAGCTACACGTGGCACGGAGTAGGTAGCTCGAATTAGAGATCCTGTATCCAAGGAATTCGATCGGGACTGTATCCAAGGTGTGTCAGTGATTTGTCAGCAGAGTCAGATTAGAGATCCTAATTCGAACTACCTACACCGTGCCGTGTGTAGCCACGGGCACGGAGTTCAGACGAAGGGGGATTTTAAAATGGCGGCGCCCGGGAACATGCAAATGAAGCCCGGGATATTTAAATCCCAGGTTTCATTTGCAACTCCGGTTGCCCTCATTTGCCTACCTAGCTCGAACTAACGAGCAGTGTAGACATATCCCAGGAGACTTTCTTGAGGCCACAGAAGGAGTTGGTGTCAGAGCAAGGCCCTTGAGTTCTCATCCTGATCCCAAGTTCCACACTTAGCGTACTTGTTATTTTATTACAGGTTGAACCTCTCTAGTTCAGCAACATCCATGGTCCAGCATGATTTCAGTTAGCTAGATGTCCATTTATCATGGGCACGCCCAAGTTTCCTGCAGTTCCAGAAAGTTTGTTTACAGCCACAAGTCTCGGCTTTCAGGGTTCTGTGCTGTTATTTAGCTCTAATTTATTAATTAGCCCTACACGTCATCCAAGAGCCCAGTACGCAGTGGAAGTGTTGGTAATGCTACTAGACAATATTGACCTCCTGTGGTCCAGAAAATCATCTCGTTCTGCACTGGTCAGATCCCGAGGATGCTGGACTAGAGAGGTTCAACCTGTATTAAATGTAGCATTCCATGAGAAAGAAGCAGTAGAGCAGAAAAAATTATAGCATCAGTGCGGCTTCTGCTAAGCTTCACTAATAAACGAGGAGGAATGGTCTAGTGGTTAGGGAGCTAGTTGGGAAACCAGGGTTCAATCCCCTCTTCCGGCACAGACTCCCTGTTTTTGGCCTTGGGCCACTTAGTCCTGGTCTACTCTTAATTAGGATGACCTAGTTATATGGCTCAGAGTTGTGAAAAATGTCACTAACTCCCAGCATAGACCCTGCTAGGCACATGGAAGAATTCTTAACCAACATTCTTCCACTTACTGTCCTCTTAGAGAGGCGGATTAACTTCACTGATGGAAAAGACCCTCCATTGGTGTAGGAAGCGTCTAAACAACAGTAATTCAGGGGCACAGCTGCAGCACTGTAGCTGTAATGCAGTGTAGACACACCCTTACTGACTGTATCCAAGATCCTTGTCTGTAATGAGGCAACAACAGCCCTGCTCCACCTCACAAAGGGGGAGCTGGGATACCTTTAAAGAATGAGAGGTGCTCAGCCATTGCAGTCATGGGGGCCATTAAAGCACCTCAGATGAACAGAAAAGACACCTCAAAGGTTTAGATCCCCTCTTGGTGAACTTTTAACCTTGACACCTCAAAGGTTTAGATCCCCTCTTGGTGAACTTGCCTAGCTGGCATTAACAATTATACCCCCAAATCCATAAGAACATTGATCTACCCCAACCTGTGGTCTAGGGACCTCTGGGGGTCTGCAGACTATGTCTAAGACTTCCAAAGGAGTTCATATCTCCCTGAACTATTGGACACAAGCCCAGACTAACCTCACAACTTCCACCATTTTTATTAAGGGGCTTCCTTGAACCTCTCCTTGTCAACATCACTCCAGTGTCACAATAACGATCTTTTTTTACTCTGTGAAGATGAATGCAAATATCTGTCCTATGACTATCACGGCTTTCAGATGATACAAATAGGCACCATTTTAATTTTACATCCATTTTTCCCTTATTTTACGTACAGCATTTCGATACTTTGCAACACACACGTTACAAATGGATTGCAACTATGTATAAGCAATTGGCCTCACACATTCAGGAGTTTGTACAATACCTGGAATCATCTGTCACTTCTTCAATAAAGCCAGACTCGCATCGGGGGCAAGTGTACTCCTGCAAAGCGAGAGGAAAGGGAAGTCTTTAGTCACAAAGACGCACGGTGCCCAAGGTGAAGCTTGGAAATACTGCACATGTGATGCCGACAAGGAGACGGAGTTTTTGGTTCCCCTACAATAAAAATACAGACTTGGCAATTCTATGGCAAAAGTTCTCAAAGCACTTTAGAAAGGGTGAGTGTTATTTCCATTTGCCAAGTGAGAGTCCAAGAGGTACCTTTCCAAAGTCACACAAAGTCAGTGGCTAATCAGAAAAAAAATCAAACCCTCTACCTCCTGACTCCCAAACCCCTTGCTCTCACAAGTAGCTATGCTACCTCTACCTTTCAGTTTAGGTTTGATGTCCTGAAGTCCTTTACAAACTGTGTTTCATATTTGTGAAAGCAGCTCAAGGGGGGGGGCGGGGGGGAGAAGGAGAGTCAACCTGTGGAACTCCTTGTGACAGGATGTTGTGAAGTCCAAGACTACAACAGGGTTCAAAAAAGAACTAGATAAATTCATGGAGGTTAGGTCCATCAATGGCATCCCTAGTCTCTGTTTCTCTGCAAGTGGGTGACAGGGAAGGATCACATGGGGATTACGTGTTGTGATCCCTCCCTCTGGGGCATCTGGTATTGGCCACTGTCAGCAGAAAGGATACTGGGCTAGATGGACCTTTGGTCTGACCCAGTATGGCCGTGCTTATGTTCTTAAGGAACGAGACTGATTGTCCTTATTTGTTCAGGTCCTTCAGTCACGTGATCCATTTTGTTCATGCATTAAGTGAACATAATATCCGAGTCACAAAGTTGCTATGGTAGAGGGTACAATGCTGGGGCAGTCTCAGATTAACTGACATTAGGGAAGGACAAAATACATTATAATAAACTATTGGCTGGAGAGTTACAATGGGGTAGTTTAACCGGAAAACAGATTTTCTACTTCTTGTGAGCCATCGCACAGCTCAGCAGGGGTATCTCAGGGGTGTCTCTCAATGCTCCTCAACACACGGACTTTATCAGCCGGCAGCAAACCCGGCTGGATAACTCAATTTAAGAAGAGATCCATTTAGAAGCCTGCTGAGGAGCGCTGGGAATTTTGAGAACAGGCCTTGGATGAGGATAGCCTCAGTTGACAGCAGTGGTGACAGGAAGAAAGCCACTTCAATTAGAGAGGTGCCAGAGCACAGCTATTTCAAATACAGCTCTGATGCCGCACTGGCCCTCCTGTAGCGAGCACTGCAGGAGAGCCAGCCCTGGCTGGGAATTCACTCTGTAATTATCAAAGTCAGAGCATAAACAGCTTTGTCATCTCTTTTTAAAGCCAGTTTCTGAGAAGGAGATAAGAGAAATGAGCTAGATTCAACCAGCTGTGCCTGGTATTTGTTTTTTTTCCACTGACTACCCTGCCCCTTTGCAAGCCTCAATTAGGCCCTCCCAAAAATTTTTAAGGCATGGCCTCATGTCTGTCTCCCGCTGCATGTTGCCCTGCCCCTTTACCTGGAAGGCCACACAAAGCTACACCCCTTTGAACTCCAAAATCAGAAGCATGGGGCTCATGCATTCACCTTGCGCATGCACAAGCTGAATCATGAGATCACATCTCTCAGTACCCATACGCAAGGCAGGAAGCTGCAAGACCAGAAGCACGTAGCTCCTGTAATCACTTTCAGTGCAAGAAGGGGGTGGGGCTGCAAAACTTTCCAGAATTTGGGGAGCCAGAGGTCCTTCCACATGGAGTCAGGTAAACGGCTTGCTAAGGACATCAATATCAAGTTCATGGATGCATTAGGGAAGAGATTTTAAGAAGCAGTCTTTAGTCTGTGTGCTGGAAGAAAAGAGGAGCTCAACTTAACTTCATTCACGCAGATAGCTGGAGTTCCTCAAATGACTGGGCATTTCTGCTCCCCATTTGGAGGGCCCTGGGGAGGGAGCATCTTCTAAAGCCGTGGTGTCCAAGCAGCTCTGAAGCAGCAGCCACTACAGTGGCTACTGCTATAGTGAACTAGCCACCGGCCAAACAGCCACGTGTGGCTAGTGTGTTGGACGCTACAGCCCTAAAGGGAAAGATGTTCTTGCAATTAACACATGCAAATGAGTGGCAAGTCTACATGCCCAGCTGTGCCAGGGACTTGAAAGACTTTGAGCAAAACAATTCCATTCCCTAGCCAGTTTCGCTGTCTATAAAATGGATACAATTTTGCCCCTATTTCTCTGGGTGGGGAGGCTTTAATTCATTAATGTTTGCAAAGCTCTTTGAGCTCCTTGCATGGAAGATGCTTCAGAAAGGAAATCCGGCCTAAAACATTAAGGGAGCAGTTGAGCATTACTGGATAGTCGAGTTGGTAGAAAAAGCATAGGGGGGGGGGGGGGGGGGCAGAGCCAGGGCGACAAAGGGCGTTGCACAGCGGCATTTCAAAGGGGAAGCACGCAGAGTGCCCAGCTGACCCCAGGCTCTGCATGGCATTTCAAAGTGGCAGCGCAGCATGGAGCCCGGGGTCAGCAGGGGGCTCAGAGTCCCCCGCTGACCCTGGGCTCCAAGATGGCGCTTCCACTTTGAAATGCATGAGTCCCCAGGGTAAGCGCCCTCATGGAGCCCGGAGTCAGCAGGACTTCCTCAAGGCCCTGGGCTGCAGGTGGAGTTCCGCGTTCCTCTGTTGAAATGTACAAGAACCCCAGCGGGAAATTCCATTGACTACTCGACTAGTAAATTACTCGTTAGTTAACATCCTTAGTCTGCCCTCCATCTCCTGAGCTAGCAAAACCAACAAATGTGCTCCGAAGCCAGTATCCAGACCCCTCATCACCAAGCTTCACACATGGGCATGGCAGGGACATAACACACGCGCCCGAGTGCATTCCCTCCTGCTGGCTACAGACCAAAGCTCACCCTGCTAGACTTCCTTGAAGCATTAGACACTCCTGATCACCAGATATTCCCATCCCCTTTACATCAAGCAGAGAGTCCTTTCCCAGCTCTCTCAATACTGGACAGAGATCGCCAATGAGGAACTTGCAGGAGAGGGGCCCAGGCAAGACTCTGGTGATGGTGTTTGGGGGGCCTCCTGCTGGCTACAGACCAAAGCTCACCCTGCTAGACTTCCTTGAAGCATTAGACACTCCTGATCACCAGATATTCCCATCCCCTTTACATCAAGCAGAGAGTCCTTTCCCAGCTCTCTCAATACTGGACAGAGATCGCCAATGAGGAACTTGCAGGAGAGGGGCCCAGGCAAGACTCTGGTGATGGTGTTTGGGGGGGGGGGTTGGTTAACGTGCATGGTTACATGCAGCCAGCCCCCCACACCATGCTGCTGACTCTATATCAGAGTCAGCAGCATGGGGGTGGGGAGGGAGGCGAGAGCTGGTACACACGGTACCCACAGGGGGCTGACTCCCTGAGTGCACCAGCTCCCAAGGAGCCGCTACTCCCCCCACCAATGTGTAACCGCTGAAATTTTTACACATTTACTTGAACAAACACATTTTAACATCCCTTCCTGCTACCATCTATGACCAGCCAGAAGATCACACTATGTACCAACAGACCTTTCCGTTCACAAATGCAACAGCATCTTTTGGGCCAGATCCTTAACTGGTGTAAATCAACACTGCTAGGGAACGACACTGATTTACAGCAGTCGAGGATCTGGCCCCTAATGTCCAACACTTAAAAAAACCCAACAAAGTGTAGGCACAGGTCAGCTAACAGAAACCATCTGTCAAAGCTAACACAATGTGACCTGTCAAAGGTCAACACAGCAATGCACTCTCACATACACAGCCTCAGATGCTGGCCTATCAATACACATGAAGGCCTACTATACGCATGGCCTGAAAACCTTTGGCAAGCAGTGGCACTTTGGTATTCATCTCCAGGCTGCAGTCCTCTTGGAAACGCATTCAGGCTGTGATGTCAGATACCAAGGGTGGAGGAACCGTGCTGTGTCAAGGCAAGGGACAGGAAGTTCTGTAACACTTTAATATGGTAAATTATACTCCAAGTGAGTCCGTAACCAGCCTAAACACAGACCCTGCTGCACATTGTGACTCCTGTAAAAATCAGTCGGATTTGATGGATGAAGGCAAGTCACAATATCACAATCCAGCCTCTCAGCTGCGGCATGACATTTTGGCCCTGATCCTAAAAGCTGTCCCATGCAGGTGTAGCCTTCGTGGAAGGATATTGGTGTTCGTGTTGTAGGGGCCAGACTCCACTCCATTAAGAACAGCTCCCTCCATGTCTCTAAGAATCAAGCCTTTCGACTTCATTCTATTTTTAAAAAACACGTATTTAAGCCATGTTCTGTAACGTGAACTCAGCTCTTGTGACACGTGCCGACTGTCCCAGAGATGGACAGAGAGACTCCAGCACAGAGAGCATCTTCCCCCATGCTGACCCAGGTCTCACATTTGACCCGGTAGGAACCTCCTATAGAGACAAGATCAGGTTTCCCGTTCTTAGCCTCTCTGGGGAAACTGCCAATTAGGGATGGGATTTTCAAGGCTTAAGGGAGTCAGGTGCCCGGCTTCTGTTGATCATCTAAGTCGCTAGACCTCTTTAAATCTCCCAGCCTTGGATGCCAGCAGTTTTTGCCTGTTAGACATTTGGTGAGGATAGTCCAGGATTCCAGCTTCCAAATTTACCCCAGTTGGACTAAGGAACAGTCTTTGAATGTTTCCTAAGTTTTAAACACACACTTTAAACAACAAGAAGCTCTTACGTTTGTGGTAAAACCTGGCTCCATGAGGGCAAGTTACTCAGCTGTTTGCCCTCAGGAAAGCCAGGCAACGGCCTCACAGAACAGCCTAAGATACCGTTTATCCCTTAAACGACAAGGGCAAAAATTTGGCTGCAGCATAAACACTCTGGATTGGTCTTCCACTAGAGTTGTGGGGAATTCCTTTCTCCCAGTCCCATCAGAATACTGATGCGAGATCGGAAAGCACTTTAGATTCCCCTTCCTAATTCCTCTAACCATGAAAAAGCTTATACAGCAAGTGCCCTAATTCTGCTCCA